CGAACTTAAAGTGCAGTAACAGCAAAAACACGAATTCGAGAAAAACGCGCCTAAAGTTTAGAATCCATAAAAATATATCAAAAAGAGACTTTTCGATAAAACCTTGAATGGAAAGTGAAAGAATATGTACCAAACTAAAATACTAAACATTGTTACGTTAGTTTTTTTATAAAAAACTATAATTATGGCAATTTTAATTTTTTAGCCCCTATTACTACACACACTTTATTTGTATAATCTTATCAAAAACTGTTTTAAATGCAGTAAATCCTGTTATTACTGCATTTTAGACATTTCTTCCATGATCGTTACTAACAAAAGTGCAGTAATATTATGAAAATACTGCTATTTAATCTGTTTTTTTGAACAAAAAACTGATATTCCATGCTTATAGTAATATAAAATTACCTTTAATTTTTATAAAAATATGTAATTTCTTAAACAAAACTGGACATGCATTTATGACTATGCTATTAAAACTATTCATCAAAACATTGTACATTATAATCTAATAGTGTAAATTGTTTTATATGACTAACAATATAACAATCTTTACAAGATGTTAATAATCTTAACTAGGTAATCCACCATAAAACTATATCACATGTATTTCTCATGCATAAATAAATAAATAAAAAAAATAAAAAAGCCTTTTTATTTCCTGCAAGAGTAACAAAAGTAAACAAACAATTAGTTGAAAAAAATAGTGCAGTAATAATATAATGTAAAAATAAATAAGTGTATATATTGTTTCTTTTTTTTTTTTTTTTTTTTTAAGTTGTTATTATTTTTATTTATATATATATATATATATATATATATATATATATATATATATATTTATGAAAGTAAATAATGCTTAATCCTAATGTTTTGTTTGATTATTACCTGCAAGAACCCTTCCGCAGGTGAAGGCCTCCTCCAAAGAGTACCATTTTTCTCTATCTTGGGCCATTTTCATCCAGCTTGGGCCAGCTATTTTGATAACATCATCCGCCCATCTCGTAAGCGGTCTTCCCCTGTAGCGTTTTCCACTTGGGCCTCTCCACCGTGTCACCCGTATGGTCCACCGCTCGTCTGACAGTCTCGCCACATGCCCCGCCCACTTCCATTTTAGTTTTTGGGCATAGTTTAGAGCATCGGTAGCTTTAGATATGCTTCTTATTTCTGTGTGTCTTATTTTTTGAATTTTTCTAATTTTTAGCATGCTACGCTCTAGGCCCCGTTGACATGTGGTAATTTTTCTTTTTATTTTATCTGTATATTTCCAGGTCTGACAAGCATAAGTTAGGCACGGTAAAAGGCAGGTCGACATGGCTTTACTTTTTATTTTTACTGGCATATTGCTTTTAAAAATTTCCTTTAGGCTCCAGTACTTGTTCCAAGTAAGTTGAATACGCCTCTCAATTTCTGCATAGTTGCTCTCCTTGTCGAAGCCGATTTGTTTGCCTAAGTATATATATTTGTTCGTAAATCTCAGTTTTTCATTCTCGACAGATATTGTGTTTTCCGTGCTGTTTGTCATTACCATTGTTTTTGTAAGGTTCATCTCTAGTCCTACATCTTTACTAGCCACATTTAGTGATTGGATCATGTCTTGTAATTGTGAGCTTGATTCTGATAAAAGCACCAAGTCGTCAGCAAATCGGAGGTGGCTCAAGTATTTTCCGTCTATGCTTAGGCCGCTATTTTTCCAATCCAGCTTTCTTATTATCGACTCTAGGATGGCAATGAACAACTTTGGGGAGGTCGGGTCGCCTTGTCTCACTCCTCTTTCAATTGAAAAGCTTGGGCCGACTCTTTCCAATTTAACTCTGCCCTTGTTATTATTATAGATACTTTTTATTACCTGTATATACTCCTTCTCTACCCCTTGTTCTATTAGCGCTTTCCAGATACTTGAATGTGATACGGTATCGAAGGCTTTTTTGTAGTCAATGAAGGCGACATATAGAGCTCTCTGTTTTTCTTGATATTTTTCAATCAGTAATTCTAGAGTGTGGATATGGTCTATAGTCGAGAAACTCTTCCTAAATCCCGCTTGTTCTGTAGGTTGTTCCGCTTCCAATGTGATACTTATTCTTTGATTTATGAGGGAGGAGAATAATTTATATATACATGGCAATAAGCTTATTGGCCTATAATTTGCAACATCGCATGGGTCACCCTTTTTATAGATTAGTATTATATCTGACTCTGACCATTGTGTCGGTGTTTCAAAGTTTTCCAAAATGCGATTGAAAAGGTTGGTTAACGGTAGAGCCAGTAGTGAATGGGCTGATTTTATAGCTTCGTTAGTAATGTTGTCTGCACCAGGGCTTTTATTTAGTTTTAATCTATTTATTACTTGGATAACTTCTGTTTCGACGAATGGTGTACATCTCGTAGCGTTTACGTCTATTCGATACGTGTTGTTATGGTCGATATTTTCATATTCTTTAGCGCTGTAATTTCTCATGCATGGATCAATAAAATTTACATAAAAATTTTCTTCTGAATATAACTAATTACTAAATGAGTATTCTTGTCTTACAAAAATAATAGTCTGAAAAGATTATGGAAGGGAGAACTAAGGAGAATTAACTTATATGGGAAACAAGTTGAAAAAGTGTCCAGTAGCGAGCAGCAAATTATAGCTCAGAAACTCACCGTTACAGCACTAGCGTAGCAAGTAGATGTGATGTGAAGTTAGTAGTTTTTAACGGAGTGAAGTGTGCTGAATTATTATTACTTTAAAATAATATATTATTATATTGTATATCGCTGTTTGCCTATGCTAGAACTATTTTGAAAAGTGCGCCACAGCAAAGCGGAAATCTTTCTTTCCTTGTTTAATTCACCTTCTTACTTTTATGACGCTGTTTTAAGCTAGCGACTCAACTTCGCCTCACTCGGGTTCGTCCCTTAATACTATTTTTTTGAGCGGAACTCTAAATTCTTTTTTTTAAATAAAAGTAGCCTATATTACTCCCTATAACATCAGTTACCTTCCACTGAAAGTCCGTCAAAATCAGTCCAGCCGTTTCAGAGATTATTCGGAACAAACAGACAGACAAAAAATTTTAAAAATTAGTTTTTCTTATAAGTACCGTATATAATTTCATATGAATTTAGTAAAAAGGTTTATTTTGACATTACAAACAGACACTACAATTTTATTTATCTGTATAGATGTATAGATTCATATACTTGTTTTCTGTGGCGCCACCAATTTAATGCTTGTCAGCGGTCACTTTTTATACGAGAAATAGTTCTCCTTAGTTCTACCCTCCATATCTCTTTGGTACAGACACAGCATAGCACGTCAAGTCAGCCTTAAGCCACAGATTAAGGAGACTGCCTCAAACCGCGATATTGCCTGTCCTGTGTTTTAATATTTTAATAATTTTACCTATTAAAACGCAGTATTAGGGAATAGTATTTGACTTTAAGTATTTTAAGTAGTATGAATTGGATGGAGCAAACTAACTAATATGCAGTAAAATTTATAAATATTGTAAACTAAATGGTCTTTTACAAGCAACTACAAAACATCCTACAATTTAAACTGCAGTAAAGTTATTAAATACTGCATGTCTTTTAGTTTTTCACAAGAAATTACAAAATCCCCCACAAGTTAATGTGCAGTATGGAATGTTAATACTGCACTTTAATTAGGAATATAAATAAAAAAATATTTTTTCTTAAGATTTGCAGTATAATCAATTTGTATAGAGTCGAATAATACTGCATTTTAATAAGTTTTTTCTTGAATCTCCTAGAACAAACTACTATTTTAAGTGCTACAAAATATGATAAAACACTGCAGTTTAGTTAGGAAACAGAGAAAAATCTTGTGTAGTATTAATTGTACTGCGGTTTAGCTGGTAAACATGGAATATTTTAACAGATTTGTGATATTTTTGCTGTTACACCTTCCGAAAAAACATTAAAATAAAATACTTTTATTAGCGCTACAGAAAAAAGAATTAATTTGACTGATAGCTACTAAAATGGGGATTTAGAATACATATTTAACTCAAAACCGACCTAAATGTCTATTACTGCACTTTAGGCTCAGGTGGGCAGAATTCAGATTTTGTATTTTTTCTCAGAAATGAGATATTTTACCGCGGTAAAAAGTATCCTATATGTTGACCCGGATAACTAGTTATCATCATACCAAATTTCATCAAAATCTGTCCAGTGCTTTTCTCGTGATGCGGTAACAGACAGGCAGACAGACAGATAGACAGACAGACAGACAAAAATTCTTAAAGCTATAGATTCGGGCTCTGTATCGATAATAATGTCTATTTCAATTAGATTTTCCAAAAAATATTTATAATAGATTCGACTTAGTTACAACTTTATTATATGTACTATCGGCTTTTTGGAAAGCACAAACAGATCTATCCCACGGGAACTTTTTCTTTTTTCCGGGATGAAAAGTAACCTGTTGTTTCACCGGCAATACAAGGTATCAGCATGCCAAATTTAACTACATTAGGTGTATAAGTTGTTGTGTACTAAGTTGTATATGTTACTATAGTTTTTTAACTATCCCACGGAAACTCTTTAATTTTCTGGAATAAAAAGTAGCTTAGATGTTGACCGGGGATATAAGGTACCACCATGCAAAATTTCATTTAAATCGGTCCAATATATGTAATTAATATTTTGTAGGCATCATCGTTAAGGCAGCGTTCGTAAGAAACGTTTTCGTTCGACCGTTATTTCTGCGACTTACTTTGCAAATCCGACTACCATGAAAAAGTATTTTCATTCTTCGGGTTAATATATAGCCTATGACACTCAGAAAGAACGTGGCTTTCTATTGGTAAAAGAATTTTGAAAATCGGTTCAGTAGATCCAGAGATTACCCCCTACAACGTCACAAACTCACAAACACACAATATCACAAACTTTACCTCTTTATAATATAAGTATAGATAGATATGTTTGAGAGAAACAAAATGGATAAATTATACGAATTTTATTTTACAGTAAAATATAGTTTATAGATGGGCACTTATCCAGCTGTTGAAGGAGGTGACACGCGCGAATGCTGAGGGATCAGGTGCTTCGCAGAATAGGGGTCCGAACGACGTAATTCCAATCTGGCGAAAAATTAAAACAAAAATTAATAATCCTAACTATATTTTGGTCAAAGTGGTCAAACTAATATCAAACTCATATCTTTATTTCAGTCCATAGGATAAGTTAGACTTAGAAAATTGAAGGACGTATGAAACATAAACTAAAGCTTTAACTAAGAGACATTTATCCATATGAAAAACTTTTGGTCTTTTGAGAGATATAGAAAATGAAGAGCTTAAATAGAAACATTACCAATTGGTTGTTCAGGACGAGGGGACCACCAGAATCTCCGACACAGGTATTGCGGCCTCCAGCACCGCTGGTGCAGAGGGTGGACCCAATAACGGCTGATGTACCGAAAAAGCGAGCGCAATCTGCATTCGTGATTACTTGGAGAGTGACGTGATGCAGGCGGTCGGTGTGACCATTAACTGGAAATTTTTAGTCGAAGTTATTAAGTTTCATATTCTGAATTGGACGAACATGTGTATGCCAATTGAAAAATTATCTTGAATATACCATCAGCAATAAGTCCAAAGCCGGCGGCGAGTGCATTTTGTCCAGCGAAGCTGTTGCTGCCAGAAGCCATAGGAATGTTGCGGATATTGTCTGCAAATCACAGTATCCTCTTAAAATAAATCATAATAGTTTTTGAAAAACGAAACAAAATTTATATTTAACAGCACTCAAAATACAAAATTCTCAGCTGTGTCAAAATTTAAAAATATTCAGTTAGAAACTTTTAGAAATTTGCGGTCTTTTTAGGGGGGTTCTGTACTCGAAGGGTGCTAACGGAACCCTATTACTAAGCCTCCGCTGTCCGTCCGTCTATCAGAGGGCTGTATCTCATGAACCGTAAGGTAACGAGTTGAAATTTTCATAGAAAGTGTATTTCTATTGCCGTTATAACAACAAATAATAAAAAACCAAGATGGCAAATTTCAAAAAGGCTGCCATGCAAATAAAAAAAATCAATTGTGGTAGTCCGACGTGCACTTGACCAATTTTATTTATAATTACGATGCGATACAATTTTAAAATATCAATACATATAATACAACTGTAGAGGCCGAATGTCTGTACATAGAAAAAAAAGCTAAAAACCGAGTCGGGGGGGTGTAAGAAGAGAAATAGAATCCAGATTTTTTCAATTTTTTTGTTTATCAGTCTGTTTGTCTGTTTGCACAGGCTAATTTCCGAAACTGTTAGACCGATTTAAATGAAACTTTGCATGGTGGTACCTGTGGTTGTGGTGGTACATGTGGTTAAAAAACTATACTAAATTATATAGCTTAGTACACAAAAACTCCTAATTGGATTTTAATGAAATTTTACAATAGTATAGTTCACACATGAGGATAACAAATAGGCTACTTTACATCTCAGAAAAATGTACGGTTCCCGTGGCATAGATTTGTTTTTGTTTGTCTAGTTTTTAAATAAAAAATGGAGTTACTGGCATGAAAATTTAAATGATTAAAACACAACACGAATATCAAATAACAAATTAAAACTGATAAAAAAATGCTTACTGGTGTATGTAACCCATGGCATAACAATGACGGCGACATCATTGTTGAAATTATCCATATTGTAATTAGGGTGCATTTGAATATTGTTGGTGTTGACACGAGTTCCCCCGAAGTAAAGATTGACTGATCCAAGGACGACCTCGATGGCCGTGCCATGGTGTGTGCGTGTCGCCCAGCAGTGGGCGGCGGTGACGACGCGCGTGTTGGTGAGAAGAGTTGATCCGCACATAGACACCGCACCAATTGTAAGTCTAATAAGGAGACCAGCCTAGAACAGAGAATGTGTGTAATCTATACTAATATTATAAAGAGATAAAGTTTGTGAGTTGGTGAGTAGGGGGTAATCTCTGGATCTACTGAACCGATTTAGATGGAATTTGGTAAGAAGGTAGTTTGAGGCCCTGGGAAGGATATAGGATACTTTCTATCCCGGAAATGATCCCTTATGGGGATGAAAGTTCGTATTGGGAAGCAAGCCAGGGACGAAGCGGAGCGAAGCGAGGATGAGTTGCTAGTATACATATATATATATATAATAGGTTTATTTCTTACGGCCTGAGGCTTGCCTCATCCATGAGGCTAAAATGTATTATGTTAGTTCGTTATCTTTTAATATGATTAAACAATGTTTTCTAGGCATAAAATATAGTGTACTATTAAAAAAAAGTAAAGTCCTTTCAACTATCTTGTTATTAACATGTAGCACTTGAAAATAGACATACTTAGAACATCCTAATTTAAGTAAAAAAATAATATACAAATTTGAAACTCAAGTGAAAAATATACTAATATCACAAATGAGCTTTAAAATAACTACTAACCATATATGGGTGTTGCCCTACTGAAGACAGTGAGCCTCCAATGATTCTGCTGCCATCAAAATCTTGAGCCAACTCAGCTTGTTCAATCTTGGCAGCCAGTGGAATACCCACAGTGGTATGGTAGTCTACATTGATGGGCTTGAAGGGAACCCCGGCTTTGGCCAGGGCAATAGAGGCAAGTAGGATAAACAGCTTCATTTTGACGTGTGCTGAGTGCAGACTGTAGTGTCCCAGTATATATAGTCAATCACGGATAAACCCAGTTGGGTATCGCAGTGACGTCGGAGAAACGGCGATCGGAATACAAGATTATAATATGATTAATTAGATACGAACTGTTATAGCACTTTTCACTGATTGGTTTTTAAAAAAAAGAAAATGACTTGGGATTACATAAAACAATTTTATTTAATAGATTGGACCCGATTTTATTAGGGCAAGTGTCACGCGCGGATGTTGGAATCGAACTGAACTATAATTAATATTTAATAATTATGAACCATCAAAAGTGCTGACCAAGGAGAAGGAATAGGGCTACTAGGCGCCATTATATACATAACATATATATAACAGCCCCCCGGGTTTTGACTAAACTTACCCTTAAAGGGGTAAGTTTATGAAATAGTAGTGCGGATTTTGGGTGATGGAATGTCAGAGGAATTGGTAGCAACTTCTGTAAGCTCTTCGGCTTCTTTAATATGAAATTTAGAATTATTTTTTCTAAATAAACCGTGACATTTGCCCGATTTGATACATTTAAATGAAAGTATACATAATGAAATAATAATAATAATACTAATAATTATTGTTGTGTAGGAATAATATTCACCGTATAGAATAATATGGGGTTTATTAATTATCTTATCTAAATCATTAACAATTTGGCTCGTGGCCTTGTCATGCTCATATGAAATTGAATCGAGTTCTATGTTTTTCAGAGTTAAATTAGGGATACTCTTCTCTTGATTTTGTAAAACATTTAAATCACAACATTTATCATTTAATAAATCGAATGTGGAATTAAAAAATGGAATTTCAATTTCTTTTATAGATTTAGGAATGAATATCAAGTCTTTATAATAAGCAATACAATTAATAGGAATATTAAAGAATCCAGTACCAAAAATACTTAACTCACTGTCAACAGATTTTTCACAGGAAATAGAAAGCTTAGATTTCTCTGAAATAATATAAATCCACTTATTATTATTTAACCTTTGCCAAATTTCGACATGACCTTGAAAAAAATTAATTTCACATAGATTTGGAACAGAGTTCAAGAACTTAGAAATTATTTCAGATTCACAAATCGGATTTACAGAGCTAGAATAAACATTAAGTAGGTTACAAATAAAAAACATATTATATAGAGTTTTACAGTTATCTAAATTATCTAACTTACAATATAAAGATCTATCTCTAGTTATGCCTATATATTTTGTCGATGGAATAATAGTTGTATAAGTTTTATTTTCAATATCGTTTAAAACTGGAAATGAAATACTGTTATATAAACTAAATTCGTTGGAGGTCACAAGTGGGACCTTAAGAACAAACACAATTTTATACTGACTATAGAAACTAGCTAATTCGGATATATCTAATAACACATACATGTTGTCCAATGAAAGATTTACAATAAAATGTCTATAATTTGGTAAAAATCGATAATTATTTACCAATTCAGAAAACAACTGTTTCGGGGTAATAATTGACGGATGTAAAATATTAGATTTACTAAACATTATTCCATTAATTATGTCCTCTAATTTAAACGATAAAGTAAGTAAACTACTTTCCAACATATTTAGCATTTCATTAAAATTAGATTTTATAATTAAATTATCGGTTAACAAAGTTAAGTTCCTTATATTATTGGACATGCTTTCAACAGCGCTATTTAATCTTTGTTCATTATTACTAATGTCATCTATAATATTTTTATAAGAAAAAAGTGTAGATTTAGTTATCAAAATATTTTCTTTCATTAATTCCGATAATTTTAATTGATCATTCTCTACTGATTTAATGGCGCTGCTATACATAATTGCATCGTCTTCATTCATAGTTCCAAATAAATGCTAATTCATAGTTCAAAATAAGTGCCTATGCCACCGAACCAGGCTGATCTTTTGGATCTCGGCTCAATGAAATGAGAAATAGATTCAAAGTCTCTAATTATGTCGTAGTATTGAACTGATAATGGTTGTAACATATTATGACATTCGAGCTCAGTGAAAGCGCTACTTTGTTTACATAGATATCGCGAGGTGCCTATCACACCGTTCAAGTTTTCTATGTGAGGTTTAAAAAATGAAATATCAGTCGGAATTACTACACTAAGATATCCGTCTATAATTTTTAAGGAACCAATGGGGTCGAAATATATACCAGGATTTTTCCTGACAGGCTGGATGAAGTTTCCTCTTACCAAAATTGCAAAGCTGAAATAGAATATTTAGAAATAATAAAATAGATACCTAAATAAAATTATTTTTATTGGTCATTATTGCGACGCGCAAGTATTACTTCATCAAAATGATGAGTTACATGACGTCTGTTAATTAAAAGAGTTAATGTATTTCTCCCATTAATTTTAACGACTTTATAGGGTCCTTTCCAAATTGGAGATAATGCTTTACGGAGTCTAAGGTGGTTTTTTAAGAATACGTAATCACCCACTTTGAAGCTAACAGGTTTTGAACGTGAATAGTAATACGTTTTTGACGACTCTTTTGATTTTTGAATATTTTCTACTGCTTTTGCGCGAGTGAATTGGAGACGGTGTTTAAGCATTTGTACATAATCGGAATATGTAGCATCAGAAGAAGAGGGTTCATAAATGGAATTTGGAAGATATGGCTTATTACCTAAGAGAAGTTCGTGAGGAGAATAATTAGTAGTGGAATGTATAGCAGTGTTATAAGCTAACATGGCAGTATACACATATCGAGGCCAGTTAGTTTGAGATTCATCTACATAGGATTTTAAATATTCTTTTAAAGTAGAATGGCTCCGTTCTAAGGCGCCTTGTGTCTGAGGGTGATAGGGAGAAGACCACAATTGTTTAATCTTTAAAAAGGAACAGGTTTCTTTGAAGAGTTCAGCTGTAAAATTAGTACCTTGATCAGTTAGGATGGTTTTAGGAATACCAAATTGAGAAATAAAATGAAGGAGACAATCACTAGTTTCTTCGGCAGTTGTACTTCTGATAGGAAAAGCGGCGGAAAACTTTGTGAGATCATCTTGGATAGTTAAGATATATTTAAGTTTGGCGGTTCCAGATTCTGGGAGTGGACCAACAATATCTAAAGAGACTCGTTCAAAAGGAACAGTTGAAGTACTTGTAATTTGCATGGGAGCTCTATTCACTTTGCGAAGTGCTTTATTGGTTTGACAGGATGAGCATTCTTTTACATAATTTTCAATGTCGCTACGCATGTTTTTCCAGTGAAATTGTTCACGGATTCTATTAAACATTCGATTTGAACCAAGGTGACCTGCTACGGGTATATCATGGTTTTCTTTAAGGATCTTTTTGACTTCACTTGGGTTAGGATAATATATTTTATTACGATAAACATGAATTTCAATTCCTGTGTTATTAAATAAGTATGCTAACATATTATAGATTTTGATGTATATATGTTTATCGAATGGATTTTTAAAATCGGTAATACTAATTTTGTCAATTGGTTCTTCTAGAGATGTAAGGTGATTACGAAAATTCTTTAAAGTTTTGAATATGTCACTATAAGAACAGTTGTCAAAGTGATGAACTTTAATAAATAGGAAGTAATAAGCTTTATCATTAATTATCAGTGATTTATAGGAAAATAGAGTTCTCTCTGAATTCGTAAATGGTTCACAATCCGGTGAATTTGATAGAATTTCCTGGACATACGGAATAGATTCATCTAAATCAAGCGATGTAGGTATTACTATAATTTTATTTTGACTCTTTAATATACTATCGTTATGTTCGGAAATTACTGTATCAAATGTTACTGTAGAAGGCACTTTCAAGAACTTTGAATAAGTATCTGAAGAATCAGGTGAATTAAGAGTAGGGGGAGGGATTATTTCAGGAGGTTGATTACTAGAGGAAAGCTGTTCGTTTTCTTGTTCAGGATTTAGATTATAATAATAAATTTGCGACCAAACAGGTATGGCCTGAAAGTTTTACAACCCCATACTATGGCTAACAATTCCTTTTCCGTTGAACTATAGTTGATTTCACACTTGTTTAAAGTTCTAGACGCGTAAGCTACGGGTTGGTCTTTTCCGACTGGGCCTTGAGATAAGATAGCAGATATCGCGTAGTTACTTGCATCACAAGTAAGGTTAAAAGATTTTGTAAAATCTGGGTAAATTAAAACTGGGGCGATAACGAGTTTGTCTTTCAGCATTTCAAAAGCTAATTGTTGTTCGTTTGTCCAGACAAACGGAACATTTTTCTTTAAGAGTGATGTAAGAGATTTAGATAATTTTGAAAAATCGGGTATGAAACGTCTATAATAAGATATGAGGCCTAAAAATGATTTTATATCCTTTGGACATTTTGGAACTGGAAAATTCTGAACGGATTTAACTTTATTCGGATCTGGTTTTAAGCCATTTTCTATAATAATGTGCCCAAGATAGCCTACTTCTTTCCTTAAAAATTCACATTTGTCGGGCTGTAATTTTAAATTAAAGTTACGAAGCTTTTGAAAGACTGCAGTTAAATTGTTAATGTGGCGATTTAAATCATGTGAATAAACAACAATATCATCTAAATATACAAAGCATCTTTCACCTTGGAGCCCTGTTAGAACATTATTCATTAAGAAGTTGGAAAGTTGCTGGTGCATTTTTTAAGCCGAAGGGCATTCTAGTGAACTCGAAATGTCCTTGGGGAACACTGAAAGCAGTCTTACAGGCGTCTTGTGGAGCCATTTCGATTTGATGAAACCCGGAAGCTAGAGCTAGTGTTGAAAAATATTTTGAGTTACCTAACTGATCTAGAATTTCGACAATGTTAGGGATGGGATAGATTTCACCTATTGTGATATCATTTAACTTTCTATAGTCAATTACTATGCGCCATTTCTTTTGGCCAGAAGCATCTATCTTTTTGGGAACAATCCATATTGGAGAAGACCAGGGAGATGTGGAAGGCTTGATAATATTCTGATCCATCATCTTTTGTATTTGAG